CTATCTATCTATCTATCTATCTATCTATCTATCTATCTATCTATCTATCTATCTATCTATCTATCTATCTATCTATCTATCTATCTATCTATCCAGATGGTAGAGTTGCAAGTTCAATCATAGGCACTCATAGGCACATATGCTGAAGTCTAATCACACTAATCACTTATAATCTGTAATTGTACCTATTCGGGGTGCCAGTTGGGATAGACTGCAACCCTGCTATTAGCTGCTAAGAAAAAGAATTACAGAGTCAAAAAAACATGTAATTTCTGAGGCTCTATATTTTTAAAAGAAATGTAATCTGTTTCAGGTGGTAGGGATGCTATCATGACATGATGGCCATAATGCCCTCTATTTTTAAACTCCAATTAGCAGAGGAATCCTCTGAATGGCTGTGAAGGCCATAGCATTTAATTTCATATCTTTTTTTTTCTCCATACTAATCAAACCTTCTTGTGACCTCATGTCTCCAGTCTAGCAGCATTTGCATACATCATGCATCTTTACTCATTTATTCAGAAATCACTCTTTGAGGGCGAGAGATCACTGGATCTTTTGAAGAAGAATATAAAGCTGAAAAAACATATTCATCTGCTTTCAAAGGATCTTTGAGACAGTGTTGTGATTGATCTCCAAAGAGCTTTTAAAGGAAAGGTCTTTTATTGTTAGTTAGAAGAAGAGAGCTGCATAAATATTTTCAAACTATATTTGCTTTCATACCTTTTTTCATGTCGCTTTACAAACACATCATGTTCACATCACAAAGTCACATACCTCCCAACACTACCTCCTGTCTACCACCACCATATTCAACCATCAACACCTACCCTGCATCCTGTCAAACTGTCACATCACTCAGTCTCAGCTCTCAGCTTCATGCTAACATGCTGGAAAAAGCTTCTTAGCATTATGCCAAATGTGAAGCTGTCTTTGTCAGGTAATGAAAACTGTTTTTTCATGTGTTGTTACTGATATACAGTCATTTTAAAGGCTGGCACATTAGTTTAAAGTTTCGACAAATGAGTGTACTACCTTACAATACAATATGTAATTTATATAACAAGCAGCAAACCTTGACCTCTCCCTTTGCTCTTCTTGATATTGTCACAACATACACTTGAAATTTGGTTAAACCACGAGGTTTCTCACAACTTGCTTATCACAGTTGTGCACCGTTCATCCCTGAACTTTAGTGGATTTTATTCTACAACATTCTACATAAATCTAATAAAATTCACTACAGGAAGCTGATTACTG